AGCTGCATTTTTACTTTTGCACGCGCAGTTCGGCTTAATCATTTCAATAGATCTTATTTTCTGCAGTTTTCATGTTTTCTGTGTGAGGGAAACTTTTTTTTTGTGTGGTGGCGGTTGTACTGAAATTAGGGTTCGGGAAGGGAGGAAAGGGGGGAAAACAAATATAACCAGGCCGAATGTTTAGGAATGGCTGAAGAGAACAGCAAGGGTCACAGCAATAAGATAAAGAAAGCTGCGGTTGCTGAGGAAGAGGGGAGTGAGGAAGAGGAGGAAGAGGAGGAGGACGAGGAAGAGGAGGAAGGGGAGCTGAGTTTGGAGAAGGCCCTACAGCAGTGCGACCTGAACCAGGACATGATCGACATCAGCATCTCCAGCCTGGAGGGGCTCAGGACCAAATGTTCCGCTTCCAACGACTTGACACAGCAGGAGATTCGGATGCTGGAGGTAAAACTGCATCCCTTGTCCTCTTTTTTTTGGTAGGGGTGGGGACGAACATCCCGCCTTTTCAAAGAAATATAAACAAACGAGGAGAAATCTGGTGCATATGCAAACTGGGGCAAGTGAGAACAGAGGGGGAAAATCTGTCAGAGACCCTCCACCCCAATGCAGGGGCTGCAAGTCGGGGACGATGAAGCCTCTGAGACTCAGACTTTTAGATTTAAAGCAGTACCGTCTGTTTTTCTAAAGCATTTAGAAAATGGGTGCTTATGAAGGATTTACTTATTAGTCGTAATCCAGATATTTGGCACCTGCATGTATTATGCAAAGTCCCAGAGCACAGAACTGTGTACAACCATGACTGGAGCACACTGTCTGCATTGTTGATTAGGTGTGTAAAGTCATAGAGTTATACAGCACGGAAACAGACCCTTCGGTCCAACTCGTCTATGCCGAACAGAGATTCCAAACTGACCTAATCCCGTTTGCCGGCATTTGGCCCATATCCCTCCAGACCTTCCATACCTGTCTTTTATCTGACCTCAGAGATAGTAGGAATTGCCGATTCCAGTTGTCTGAGATAACAAGGTGCGGAGCTGGTGGAACACAACAGGCCAAGCAGCATCAGAGGAGCGGGAAAGCTGACGTTTCGGGTCCAGACGTTTCCTGCTCCTCTGAAGCTGTATGGCTGCTGTGTTCCTCCAGCTCCACACCTTGTTATCTCTTTTATCTGATCTCGACCGGTTGCTGCTATTGAGAATGAAATCAAATGCGTTGCAATAGTATCCGTTAAGACACAAAATTGTCACAAGGTTGTTGAATTAAAATCCTCGCCCTTTATATCCGGACGTTGAATTTTTTTCCCGTTTGGCAAATTGCTGCAATTATTTTTGTTTGTGAGCGTTTAACCAAGTTGTGTATAATTTTGTATTGCCGTGATGCTTTCTGTGCGTGGAAAACTACACGAAACTTGTCTGGTGGCAGGAGGTCTTAATTTTAAAATGTTACGTGTGTTAATTTGGAGTTTACCCACGATTAGCCGTTTAATTGTGTTATTCACAGTCTTGGTTGGATGTTTTCAACTGAGACCAACAGCTGACGTTAACCCTTAATCCCCAAAACAACACCTGCTGGTGAGCGGAGAGATCTTTTAGCAGCTTTTGCTGCAAAAGTGACTTTATTTGTGCCTGGTTCGTGAGGATTCACAGATACTCCACCGAGATTGTCTGTCCAACTGTGTGGATCTATATATATATAAATGTGTCGCCTTGTAACGAGCGTGTCAGCAGTTTGGTTTTGATGAGTGATCCTGGTAAGCCGCTGTCATAACTCGCCTTGGAAATGTTTAAACCTGTCCAAATAGTAGTGTGCCTTTGGGTCTTTTTGTTTTAGGAAAAAAAAGGGGAAGGACTCTAAGTTTCTCCAGGCATGGTAGGAATGTAATGGTGAATTTTCTGCCTGGCGTTCGGAAGGCTGTTAAATTTTATGTTTTCGAAGATTGCGTGCCGGCCCCTAGGCCCATGTTGTCGGACGCTGACTACAGTACAAGGATGAGATCAGCATAACCTACTTCTCCCGGAATGTACCGTCGCAACACTGCAGCACTCGGGTGCCAGTTGTAAGCAGTTGTATTTTTCAATGAAGACAATGTTTTTTTTGGGGGCAGGAAGGGACAAAGATGGGCCACGTTCCGAGGTTGTCAGGAATTTAGGCTATTCAAGCATTTTTTTGATATTGTAATCTAACGTGTTTTCCAGTTGACTACTAACCAAGATCTCACACCAGTGTTAGCCATTTCTCTGGATAATAGATATTCTCTGGCAGACATGCTTTCTTTTGTGGGTGCTGGGTGGCAGCGGTATGAAAACCCTTCCTGCATTATTGGGGAATGAAGTAATAACTAGTCTCCACAATTGTGTGTTGCGGCTGTTTCTAAAAATAGAGCAGAACAACTCCCCCTCGTTCTAGTGACAACGTGATAAGAATATGCCACAACCTCGAAAAGACTCTCCTTTGCCATTGACGTGATCCGAAAAGCAGTTGAAATATAGTAATTCAGTACCAAATAGTGTTTTTTTTAAAAAATATATATTTTATCTAGTTCTTCACGAAAGTACTTTTGGTCGTGGCTCGGTGATTGAGGAATGACTGTGACGTGCTGGGAATGGTTGCAACGTTGGGTGGGGGGCGGTCAAGGCAGTAGATTACATTGTCCGGGTTTAGTTGAGAATGATTGTGATGCCTTGCCTACTGTATTACATTTATCCAACTTTTTAGTATAAGTTTGGCCTGCATTGTGTGGAATTTGCCTACCAAATGTTGTAATAAGCAGAGAATGTAATTGGATGGCCTGCTTGAGTTTTTTATATTCTCATAACTAATCCTCAGATTTTCTTTGTTTTTCTATATGCATATTTGATCATTTGCGCAAGCCTTGTATAACAGATTTCACATATTTTGGAAGGAATTGTAGCGGGTGTACTTTAAACAATCCAGATTTCAGCACGTCACAAAGCAGAGGACAGCTTATGTTGAATTATGGAGTTATACACATTAGACATTAAATTGCTGTGTAATTTCAGAGCTAATCAGTCATAGTCCACCCATGTAATTGAGGACAGTATCACATTTTTATGGGGTGGAAGCAGACCATGTGGCCTATAGTGCTTGCACCAGCTCTTCAAACACGCATCATTACCTCAGACTAATTTTGCTGCGTTCCCCCATACCCTTCCACACTATTTCTATCCAAACAATCAACCAATGCCCAAGCATATGGCTCAAGGGAATAGTTCAAACAATGTACCATTGTGATTTGTCTATTATCCCATGCATTTTGGAGTCCCCATCTTCATCTTGTGTACCTATAAGACGGTATAACAGTAAAGTATGTGCATTCAAGTAGTATCTTCATTGTTGTAAGATGTCTAAAGAGAATTCGCAGGAGAAATATCAAACAAAATTTAACATCAGACCATATAAGAAGATGTACAAAAGGAAGATCGCGGAGGGACTTGAGTATAGTCGTAGAGGCCCTGATTTTCGCCAAGGCAGAGAGCGTCTCCACTGCAGGGATTACAAAATCCTGCCCCTAAAAAGAGCATCTCTTATTTTCCTTGGGCAGATCAGGGTCGAGCTGTACTTCAAGCACGTATGGTGCCTGGAGGCAGCTGACAGTTTAAGTGAACAGCTGTCTCCACTGACGTCAGATTTTAGAGTGCCTACTGCCTGGAACCTGAATTGTCATGATTAAACAGGTTAGAACGAGTCTATACTCGGTGTGTTTCTTTTGGATATCCATGGTACCCCTTTAGAGAGCTGAGGTAGACATGGCTCCAGGGTGCTTTGGAGTCATAGGTGTCAAGGATCCTTTGTGTGGAAGGAGGTGGATAGTATCAAGTTCTCTTTGGAACTGTTTATTGTGGAGAACATTCCATAAACCCTTGGAACCATCTGAATGATCAAGGTGTGTCAACGTGTCTATGTATGAATGAGTGTGCTTTACTCTAAGTGTTGAAACTGTCATACTAGAAATATATCAGAGACAGTAGGAACTGCAGATGCTGGAGAATCTGGGATAACAAGGTGTAGAGCTGGATGAACACAGCAGGCCAAGCAGCATCAGAGGAGCAGTAAGGCCGACGCTTCCGGCCCAGACCCTTCTTCAGAGACCCTTCTGAAGAAGAGTCTAGGCCCGAAG